TGAGGAGCCAGATTGTTGGGGGCAATATGCTGACTCTCCAAACCGCTTAGAGAGAGCTGTAAAGCATTGTGAAGCTGTATATAATTCTAAGTGCTATTGCTATTGCTGTCCTCAGCTAGCATGGCAAGGAATTACACTATTTGGGTATTGCTAAGACAGTGGCTCTTTCCTAATGTATAGATCAAGCCATGCCATTTGATGCAAAGGAGCGTGTTTTGCCCCACTCCGTTTTTTTCCCCATATAAAAGAGTTTTATTTTTAACTGTTGCTTACAAGACAACTTTCCCATGTAGCCACTGAACTGCTTTGATTTTAACACCCGCCCCCCTCAAAATAGTCTTGTAGACTTGCTCCCTGCTGCCCCAGTTATGCTTCCTCATGTGAGTGCCTTCACAGTGCCTGGCCAATATCAACCCAGCATCAAGCAATATGATACGCTGGGGGTGGGTGGGGAGAATAAGCCCTTTGGAGGAGAAGCAAATTTGTGGCTCTAAACACAATTGACTATAGACTTGGTTTAAAAAAAAAAAAATCTCATACCCAACAGGAACTAGCCAAGAACTGGCCATCAGAGGCACCGAGCAAAGAAATAGCATAAAAACAAATACTAATGGAAAGCATGATTGCCCAAAGCCTACGATAGGTATGTTTTCTGCAAATTTTCTAAAGTTGGAGACTGTATATTAAAAGACGACTCAAACCACCTTGTTACAGTTTACCTATTCAGAGGAGCCAATTGCTTTGTGGCAGTTCACTCACATCAGTATCTTGATAATAGCAATAAAAAAAAAAACTGCTGAGTAGCAGTGAACATTATAGCTGAGCCAAATTTGTAAAATATGATTCTGAATATTTATATACATATCACAACAGTAACGGCAACAGAAATGGTTCCCAATTGCCTGCTACATTTGGGCCAAAAATTTCTCCTGGCTTAGTTCCAGAAGAGGGAATGTTTTTGTTTTGATGGAGTAAGACTAACCTAGGATTTTACCCTTAAAGGTAAATGGGAGGTCATCAAAACTCTAGAGTTTGCTGGGCTGACTGAGCTTTTCAGTCTCTTACTTCATCTACTGTTCCTGTGTCCCAGGGAGCATGCTGGAAAGCTGAGGAGCTGACAGACACGGGAAGCAGGGCTTGGAGCCTGTTGACTCCAGCCTGCTTTCAAATCTGTAAAATCAGTATCAAAGTAGTCAGGTGGAGTGGTCTCAGTATGCCTCAGCAATGGCCACTTTGTAATTTAAAAGTAAAAAAAAAAAAAGTCAGAGAAGTGAGCTGGATTAATGCCAACGGAAAACTTTTGGGATCCAGGAAAGATTAAACTGAAGGATGGATACATTGGCTAGGGAAGGGGATAGCAGGGGGCATTCAATTCCTGGAAGCAATGAAGGCAGCATTCTGAAATGGATGCAAAATGGGATTAGGCAAAAGCATTGGGAAAACTTATGGATCTGTGGGCAGATAACGAGCCAGGAATAGAAAAAGGCTTTTCTATGTTGCTTTCTCCATGTATCTCATCCATAATAAATAAATAAATAAATAAAATATTATCTGTGTATCCATCCATCTTATGGCATGCTGGCTGGGGAATTCTGAGAGTTGAAGTTCATACATCATAGTTGCCAAGTTTAAAAAACACCGGTTTATCTCAAAGGAGTAATTAAATAGGGCAGCCAAGTTTGCATTTTTGTTGTACAAGAAAAAAGAAAGAATCCTGGTCAAGCCAATTTGTTGTTGTTGTTGTTGTTGTTGATGATGATGATATTATTTATGCGGCCACTCATTCCAGTAAAACTGTTCTTTTTTCTCCTTAGAGATTTCTATCCTAAAACTTCTGTGGTTCAAAATACTACAACAACATCAATAATAAGGAGCAGAAAAATGGCCTCAGCTTATTTGGGTGCCAGAAAAGTTTCCATGAGGAAATACTTCTAAAACCAGGATGGCCATGACTGTCTGCTGGTTGAGGACACCCAGAAGTGCTTCCAAAGATGAACCCCCTCTCATATATGAGTGCTGGATCTGGCTATCCCACAATAAACAGCTCAGCCTTCCCATCTCGTTTGAAATAGATACATAGGCACAGGCCATAATTATCCCTAAGTGAAGAAATCATTGAGCAATGACTTATTACACATGTTCAGCATGAAAAAAACCAGCTAAATAAAAGAGATGGTCTGGTCTAGTGGTTAAGGTACCAGGCTAGAAAACAGAAGATTGTGAGAGCCATGAAAGCCAGCAGGAATACTTTGGGCCAGTCATTCTCTTTCGGCCTAACCTAACTACCAGGATTGTTGATCTGAGGAAAATAGAAAGAAAAAGTTGTATAGGGAATGTTCACTGCCTTGAGTTATTGTAAATATAATAAAAGCTGGAAACAAACAAAGAAACAAAAAAAGCATAATATGATATCTAGTAGCCCATCATATTATGCAATCAAGAAACAAGACAAAACCTAATGTTTTAAAAATTATAAATATAGTTCATTAAATACAATTTAGTGCCTGTGAACCTATATATTGTTATACATAGACGTTCGGGCTCTGCTTAACAAGTAAGACTGGGGGAAGGGAGGGGGGAAGAGATAAAACAATGTGTAAGTAGCTTGTAACATATATTTTCACCCACTTGAACTTTAGCAGGAAATGAATATAAAGCTCACATTTCAGTGCCTAGTCGAGCATCCTGGGACAATTGATTGGTTGATAATAAGTGTCTGTCATCAGGCAATAAATCATACATTCAGGAAACGATAAAGAGAACCTTTTTTGTTTGCTGACAGACATTTGCAGGGAAAACTTTATAGTTTCAGTTCAAAGAAAGGCAGGTTCTCTCTCTCAGCTTTCTTCCTGGAGTATGATAGCACTTCTCTTGCAGAATGGTTGGGTAAAGTCATTTCCCCCATGAGCATTTTAATGAAAGTGCAGTTTAGTGTTTATGACATCTACAGGAAGGTAGCTGATTTACACTCATTTGGAAGCTGACCATAACCAAATTGGAAAAGGTATTAAATGCATTTTGAAGCTTGAGCTCCAAGTGTAAAAGAAAACATTGCCAAACTGCCATTGACACACATGTTCCAAATTGCCTCTTGATCATGTATTGTTATTTTTATTTTATTTTAACAGAGTGTCATGTATTTCAAGATAGTTGCTTTGGACTTCAGGTTTGCTATAGCAGAAGGAAAATTTTACAGGACCCTATAAAACTTAAATATTTGGGTAATTACTTCCTTCGATGTATACTTTATATGGATTATAATCTACACATCAGTTTTGAGCATTGCAATGTATTTGGGATATATTTAGACCACAACATTCAAAATTCTCAGGCAGCGTGCCCAGAAGCTACGAGCTACAGGTCTAAGACATCTGGAGGGCATGATCTTAGAGAAGGCTGATATACGGTTTGAGAATAAATCAATCAAACAGCCAGTCAAGGCCAGTTTATTACTGTATTTCATTTTGCAAAACTTACTCATCTTCTTCCAAATACTTAAACTATCTCTGGGGACAGAAATATATGATCTGACACAAATTTTTATGCAGCAGATATATAAAAAGTTAGGCTTTCAATGGTTTGACAAGGTTGATAAAGAAAAGATATTTATTGCATTTGAAAAGGAAATTAATGCTTGCAAATAACAGTCAGTTTGACATTTGATAAGGCTGAAGTCTTTAGGGAAGAATTGCTAATGTAGAGTGATATTTATAAATTTTCCTACATACAATATAGAGAAAAGGCTAGTCAACAGGAATTGTATCAGTAGCAACTACTTCCATAGGGAAGTAAATTATGGATATGTGCTACATCACAGACTGAATCTGGTAGAAAACCCATAAGGAATCTTGAAAATTTGGGGTAATCTAGAAACATGGAATAATGATTTATACACATCTTCTGCAAATTATAATTTCCAACATCCTTTGGGAAAAGGTATGATTCTAAAACTGATTAATAGAATCTAGCATAGATTTGCAGGGTAGCATTACCATGAGTTAAAAACAGGACATGACCAGAGATAGTATAATGAAGAAGAAAATGCCTATTTGTTTTAAATTGATGTAATTTATCTAGTTGTGAGTTCTAAGACTTGAACTTATATTTGGATCACTATGTATTTCTAATCAAATTAATTAACATTGTTGGTACAGGTAGTATTAAAGTATGGGTATTAGATGGAATGTTGGGAGCATGTAGGAAAGTTCATGTGTTTAACGTCCTTGTATAGTTCCAGATGGCCTATGTAAATGTAGTCCTCTTTCGATTTTTAAGTACTTAAGTAAGGAAAATCAAAATAATGGAACAATTAGACAGACTTATCTAATACTTTAGTAAAAAATTGTACAGCCACATACAATGAAAGGAAATACATTTGTTACAGCAGGGGTGTCAAATTTGATTTCATTGAGAGCCGCATCAGGGTTGTGTTTGATTTCAGTGGGGTGGGGGGGAGCTGGTTTGGTGTGGCCAGGGTGGGCATGGCCAGCTTGATGTCACTTGTGTCAATGGGAGCTTGTGGCGGCCCAAGTGCTCTGCCAGCAAAAACAGGCTCCTGAGCTCTGTTTTCAGCTCGACAACCTCCTGCAACCCTCTGCCAGTGAAAATGGAGCTTCATTTTTATTGGCAGAGACATCTCAGGCCGGCCGCTATTTACAAGGCGGCCCCATGGGCCAGTTCTAAGCACTCCACAGGCCAGATGCAGCCCATGGCCTTGAGTTTGACACCAGCATTCCAAACAAGAAGAAAGGCAGCTTTATTAAATTTACAACTCTTTGAGATATATAGTGATATGTTTTAATTATGCCAAATATGTCTAGATGAAGTGATAAAATACAAATAATTAGGGTAAATGCTATAATATCATGCACTTTTTCAATTTATATTTCACTATTGTATCAATTTTTTTATTAGGCATGCCACACTAGTACAAATAACTGAAAATATAGGTTTCTGAGACATTCTCAATCATCATTTGCCCATCAATCTGAGCCTAGCATACAGTACATTATACAGAAAAAGTTGACAGGGCCTGATAAAAGCTGCTTGGAGTTTCAGCCATACTTAGCTTTCTCTGTAGCCAGAGCCAGCCTGCGGATGTTTGCTATGCAACCAGCTGCAGCTTCCTGAAGAGTTTCATCCGTAGAGCCTGCCATCCCCAGCAGAAGCTTGTTAAAAATAAAAGTGCAGGGGAAAAAAATAAAATGAGAAAGGGTTCCAAACCAAAAACATTACACTAAAAATAAATTATTTTAAAATAACATGCCTGCAGAAATCCATCCAATAATGAATGAAAATAGCCATGCGTTCCACATTCTGGAATCAGCTGCTCAAAGCTGGATTCTCAATAGCCTCTTTAGAGAAAATACAGTAGCCAAAAGGATGTTTTAAAAAGAACGGAATAAAATGCATTTAAGATAAGCATATCAGGAAAAAAATTCAGACCAATCATATTATGTACAAAGTCATAATAAAAATATTACGTTAGTATTATGGTGGCAAATGTTCAGGATTGGCATTTAAACAACATCATTTTGAATGTTGGCCTTTCAACAAAGTTCCAAGTTTTCCCACTTCCAATGGAAACATTCTGAAGAGTTTAGATGCTCCTGTATGTTAATGGCTCTATTTAAAAAACCATTGCTCTTAGCAATAGAACTTTAATTTTGTTTTTGTTGGAACATTGGCCAATAGATTTATGTCATGTATGGGGAGTAAATAATCCCAAAGATTCAAATACAATCTGATTGTTCAAAACCTAAGTCTATTTTAGACAGTGTACAGAGATTACTAACTCTGTTCAAACTCTGAACAATCTGTCAGGACTAGGAATCTTCCTTCTCTGATGAGCTTTAAAAAAATGACAAAAACAAAAAAACTAATCATCTTATTTGTTTTGTCTTTTTTTCTGAAAGAAGATGGTGGGCTTTATCAGTCTGTTCCAGGTAGGTAAGAAAAAAAAAAAGCCCAAACCAGCAAAAGATTGGAAAATAGAAGGAAATATTCATCGGGGGAAATATGGAGGTAAATGCAAAATAAAATAATATTTTAAATTTATCTTATGGTCTGATCTGAACAGTTCCTTTTTTTTTCTTATTTTGTTTTATCACTTAGCATATGCATTTCTTCCTGGAAGATTATGAGTTAAGGCCTGCAGGAGTGAGAATATTTTCTCCTATTTTTTTCAAATGTCAGCCGAGTTCTAAATTTTTTAAAAATAACCCTTTGTATTCAACTGGAAATTTAGCTTCCAACTTTTTAGTGTATCCGAAAATAACTCCATAATTCTGCCACCATCTTGACTTTTTTGACTATCTAAGCCTATAAATCCAGCCACTCTGCTAGCTATAAAATGACAAGAAAGCAGAGTAAGTTTCCACTCTTTTGCTCCTGAATTAATGTACATGAAAAAAAAAATTTCTGTAAAAGAGTAGCAGCCCAGCTACAAAACAAGCTCTCCATAGGAGTGGGTGAGAGTACAAGAATAAGGATTAAGGGGGACTTCCCTTAAGTCAGCTATTTATTATAATCTAGTGCATGCACTGCAACTGTCTGCCATATTCATAACCCAATATAAACATTTCATGGAAAGCAGTGCGGTCAATTCAGATATAAGAAAGTGTCCTAAATTTTTATTATGGCAACCGCAGGATTTAAAGCATGTAGCCTTAATTAAAAATTATTTTTCAATCTGTAGCATTTAGTGTTCTAAATATAAGCAACATTGAGCTCAACCACAAAAACATGTTACCATTCAATTCTTATGCGTATTTTAATACTGCTGCATTATGTAACTTTATGAGCAACTACATATAAAAGCAGAAAGTTAACACAAATATAAATACTAATCACTACCATTCATTATTAGCCTTACAACAGTTGGGAGAAAGGAAATCTAACTGCACACATCTGAGATATGCTTATGAAGATCAATTTTATATTTTAGGAAGTATTTGTGTAGAATGTAAGCATCTTGCCAGTCACCTCTCATTCTCTGATCTCTAGATGTCACCTGTAACACCTTCAAGGTTTTGCTTCACCTCCATTTGTTTAGTTTGTACATGTTTATCACAGAATTAGTACAGATAATCCTCAACTTACAACCACAACTGAACCCAAAATTTCAATTGCTAAGCAAGGCAGTGAAGTGAGTTTTGCTCCATTTCACAATGGTTTTTTTTGCTATAGTTGTTCAGCAATCATTGCAATTATTAAGTGAATCATGCTGTTGATTCACTTAATGGGGCATTGACTTTGCCTGTTGGAAGTCAGTTGGCTGGGATGGTCGCAAATGCATCACATGACTCTAGGACCATGCATGTATTTGCCAAGCATCCACATTTTGATCACATGGTCATGGGATCCTTGAAAGTATAAAAAACAGTCACAAGACTTTTTTTTCAGTGCCATTGTAACTAAACAAATGGTTGTAAGTTGAGGACTATCTGTATTACATGTATTACAAATGTCTGTAATGCAGCTCACAGAATCACAGGAATTTGAGAGGCAAAGTTTTCAGGACAAATTATTGTTTGTCCTGAGTCAGCTGAATTAATTTGAATTAGAAAAAGTAGGTATTGCTCTAACCCCAAATATCATCAGCAGACTTCATTCAAGGGCAAATAGCAGCATTAGTGCAAGGAAGTAAGATATTATGGTAGCAATAGAATTACAAAACTCAGATGCGTCAAAGCATCAAACCAAGTGATTAAAAATGTTGTTTATATGAGCCTGAAACAACACCAAGCACTTAATGACAATTGATGGATGTCAGGAATTGATCAGCCAACTCTGTCTTCAGCTGATGGATAAATTATTCCTTTCTATATTGATAAAGAAAGCTCAAAAACTCTTGGATTTTCAGGCAATCCATTTACTTGTGTTTGAAAAATTCTCCCAATTGCTGATATTGAAATACTTTGAGATGTAAAATAATACAGTTTGATTTATAATCTATAGGTATAAGTTCCTTTGTGGATAGGTCCCTTCATTCATTATTCTTCATCTCCCTTCTTAAACTGTTCACAAAATATGTCTATTGAAAAATGATTTGGTAAATGAGGGAGAATAAAGTACTGTATACTATATACTGTATCCCTATACAGTCAATGCTCTCCTCTAAAGAAAGCAGTTAGTTTCCTTCTCCTTTACACATGCATAATCCAGCTTTTAATACATAAGATAATTGTAATAAGAACAATATGGTCGTATAGAAGTGCATACATCCTGTGGTACCTGATTCAGTTATTTGAAGCTAATCTTTGAAAGGGTTTGTGATGGGGGTTTGAGTACAGCCCTTTGCTGTACTCGCAGAAAAATAAACTTCTTGGAGGAAAAATTGAATCTCAGAATTAGCATTGATCTCACCTCTGGGTAGTATTGCCCCCAAGACTGGGAATGATACAAATTGCAAGAAGCCTACAAGAGGTGTGCTTGACTGAGGAAAACTGCATGTTTTCAATTACAGAAAACTTTATCTTCATTAAGTTTGGGGAGGTTGTCTCATGGAAATGGCATGCAAATTGAGAATTAACTTGGCACTCCACGGCTCCCCTAAGTTCTTTATGCAGAAAAACCCCACATGTGAAGATTGAATGAACTGCATTTGGGGTACAATGTTGGTATTGCTATTGGAAATATTTAACTAGCCTACTGATTTTTCTTGTGATTATTTAAAATTGATATGCTTTTAACTGGACAGTAATTACATTAAACTAATCTGCTTGATACTTGGTGGTATTTGTACCTGAACAACCTTCAAACTCAATCTGTTTGGGAAAAATACAACACACAAATAAATTGATTTTGACACTAATTATATGAGCCCAACTAACAGGCTCCTAATCAAGGCACAGCTGTTAATAATTTGTTGTTATTATGGAATGAACATGACTCCAAAGTTGCAAATCAGTTTTACCAAATACAGAGCTTATTGAGTTTTATCAATGACATAAATATGGTGCTTTAAGAGCCTGGCATTGCTATGCTTCTTTGATGGATAATGTAAGGAACAACTTGGTGTGGCTTTTTCCCATAAACTACTTGTGTTTTCTGAAGTCCCTTCCTCCATTCAGTTCCTGAAAGTCACCTCCTGTTTTTATTTTCTGCCACAATCTGAAGTTCTGATGAGTTTTTAACTGCAGCATATTGCATCATGAAGCAATTTCCCTATGAATCCAGCAGATGAGTTAAAGGCAGAAATATAATCATATGCCTGACTTAAAACCAAAGTTATGTATGCACATAGTAACTACAATGATTTCCCTAAAATTCATCATGAAACAAGGAAAATACTATTTATGATTATAGACTGTATATTCATAGATCTTTTGTTTTCTTAATATCATAATAATCATAATAAATTTCAAAGATAACTTTTGAAATAATACTCTTTTCAGTGTTTGGGGACTTGATAATACCATTCTGGTATATATATTGTGATGCCAATAAAAGAAAATGTGTAGTTCAGGGTTAAAATATTCTTATCATATTCTTGTGATCAAAAGCATTGTTATTTCTTTTCCCCTAAAATCATGTTATTTAGTAGCATTAAAGGATTTTTTAAAAAATCAGACAAGTCTCTAAGGAGATTTTCAATCATCCAGGCTGAATTTATAATTTATTAGTCAGCTAATAAATTCTTATAAAAATGCCAACCTCTAGTTGGTGTGAAGCTTTTTCAAGATAACATGTCTTATTTATATCTGCTACAGTTTTTATAGATATATACACGTTACACAGATTATACATTAATTAATTTATTTTAAAAGAGAGCTGGAAATGTATTTGGTTACTACTACCATAACTTTATATGCAAAATGTTAGAGCCAATCTATAAATCCTAATGTTAAAAAAAATTTAGAAACAAAATTTCCACTTATGGCTGAATAAACACTGAGAGGAAATGGGAAAATAAATTCATTTTGCAAAATATAGAAGAACAGAGTTGGAAGGGACTTTGAAGGCCTTCTAGTCTAACCCCCTGTTCAAGCAAGAGACCTTATACTATTCTGGACAAATGGCTGTCCAATTTCTTCTAATTAGTCTCTTTTGTTAAATTTGCTAAAATAATGAATAAATGCAATTGTAGGGAGGGGGGAGATTGAGATGAGATTTGCTCTAAAGAAGCCCTTATTTCAAAGGAATTATGTCCGCCTATTGTGCGATG